TAGCTCTGAGCTCTGACTTCTCGGCTTTCTCTTTTACATTGTTTCTGTGTTTCTTATTTAATAAGACGGTTGGTTACATCTACACCACCCCACCATCTTTCTCTCTCTTTCCTCCCCAGGCCTGGTCCTTTTGTCCTTCCTCCCCTTCCTCCTAATACAGCTCTCCACTACTAAGTAGCACAGTTCTTCAAGAGATGATCATCTGTTGAGCCACATTTGCAAGACTGTGTTGGCTTGAAGGAAGACAGCAATGAAGGTTAGTGAGGAACGTCTTAACCTGCTAGAGATGTTTTAAAACACCTAACTTCAATGGATGAACTGTGAGAAAGTGAGGCCTAGGAGTAACACAAATGTGCCCAAGAAAGGTTGCCTGGAGGCCATGGAAGACATGAGCAGAGGTCAGGACCAGAGACTGACATCTAATGGCTAGACAGGATTTCCCACCGCAAAAGAGAAGATAGAGATGACCTCCTCTACTGCTGTCAGGATCTAGTATATTGATTTTTATCATTGGAAAGACCAAAACACTAATATTTATTTTCTCCTGTCTGAGTGTTAATAGTGTTGTAGAAGAAAATTTTTGTATTGATGAGATGTAATCTCACATTTCAAGTCTAACCAGAAGAATGTGCCTGGGCATAACTCAATCCTTTTCTATTTAACCCTCCCCTCTCTGTTTATCCTAAGCATAGAGAGCAAAGTAAGAGAAAGTCAACCACCTAAGTATGTTGGTTGTTTTCTAAGCCTGCACTTCCTAACACATGTTTCCTGTCCAACATGCTTCAAAACTAAAAGCAAACCTGTCCATACAGGGCAGAAACTACACTTTCAGTCATCCTTCTTTCTTTTTTTCCCATGAAAAAACTAGAGATGTTGATCTCTGCATCTTCTTTTTCCTGATACAGAATCTTCATCTTTTAAAATTCTGCTAATTCTTTAAGGCCTATCTCCAGGTTACTTTGTGATTTCTTCTACTTCTTCAATATATTGGTGTGGTTGTGTGTATTGTGCATGCATGTATGTGTACCTAATGCCCTACACCTAGTATTATACATTATTTGTTATGGTCTTGGCACTTTTGTGGTGTGAAAGTGGATATGTGTGTGTGTGTGTATGTGTGTTCACATATTACATGTATGGATGTGTGTCATCTATGGGTTATAAACCTAGAGGTTGCATCCTTTTCAAGATTAGAATCTGGTTTGTGAGTCTATTTGTCAAACTATAACTGGTTGAGGCCCTTTCCTTTTTATTTATTCCACTTAAAAGTTAACAATAGGTTGATAAAATGGAAGAGTAGTTTTTATGTTTATAGAAGAGAATGTTAACTGCAAATACAGGAAACACCCTGCAGTCCATCTACTTGGTGCAGTCACAAGACTGACCCAGTCTAGGTCTTGACTTTCAATGCTGACTTTTCCATATTTTATTAGCCACCCTATTCTATTTTAAAGGCTAATGCATTCTGTATTAAAAATGAACGCTGGGGATAACTAGAGAGAGTTGAATATGAACATAATGGAAAAGGACTTGATAAGTTCTCTCTATGCAAATGTAACAGAGCTGGAGTTATCCCAGATATCTATCAGTGTCTTTTATTCTCAAAGAAACTGCCACTGAGTGTGTTGCTAAATATGTGCACGAGGAAGGCTGAAAAGACCAATGTGACCAGCTGTCCCTTCTACAGTGCATTTGAATGAAGGCTGTTCTTTCCTTAGCAGCTGTAGATACTGTTTGCAGAGACTGCTGCTATTTTTGACTGAATCTTCTTCAAAGAGATGAAAAAGAAAAGAAAAGTTACAGCCTTTCTGATAGCCCCCTGTCCAGCTGCGCTCTGTCCGAATTGCCCAGGCTTGGAACTGTAAAGCAGCCAATATTTCCTTGTTTTTACTTAATCACAGCTGTATACCGCTTCACATCTGGATCAGCAGAGAAGTCAAAAGCCATGTTTCAGTAGAATCAGTTCCATGGTTGCATCCCATGTTTATTTATGGATATTGGCTTCTGAGGAACACTAGCTAAATTCCCCCAGAAATAACCATGTGAAGTCTGAGGTAATCTGTGTCTTCCGGCCACATGCCTGAGAGTCTGAGCGTCTCGTTAGCAGACTGACTTTGCAAAGCTTGACTTGTTTGATCTGGCAGCCCTGATGCAGACATGGCCATCACCTTGTCCTTCAAGAAGCAATGTGCAATCACTGCTTCATTGGTGAAGGAAAACTTCCACTGTGTGCACGTGGATCTGTAACAGCTGTTCTCCTCTGGCTTGCTCACCCCATCATTGTGCTGACTGAATAACACAGTCCTTCATAACATGCTCCAGACATTTATACCTCTGACCTCTATTTACCTACAGAGAAAACCCTGCATGCCCTTCTACCCAGCAGTGCCTTTATGTGCACCTAGGATACTTTGTTCGTCGGTGGCACCTCTTTAGCTAGGCATGCCAAATGTTCCCGTTGGTACTTTACACTGCTTCACTGTTCTTCTACCTCTCAGGGACTCCCTGTAAGAAAACAAGGATGTTGTCTGGCATTTTCTATAAACAATGCTCTTAAAAACATTCTAATATATCTTTTTAAGGTATATATACTGACCATAGCAGTCCTGGTGTCCTCTTCCTTCTCCTAATAAGAGGTACCACATACAGATGCTATCTGGCTATGAAGATGTGGTTCACGATTGGTTTAGCTCTGTCCTCTGTGAACTTATGACCTTTGCAAGCTATTCATCTTTAGTCTTCTTAAATTAAACACCAGTACCAAGAAAATTATATCAGTATCATAGGGTTGCTATGAGAAAGAAGTTTTAATGTGTATAAATTATATAAGTACACATCAATAAGATTTGATGCATATTATTTAAATAAGCAGTCCTGCAAGCAGCTTATAAAAATATCCAGAATCTCTACAACTATGGCTTTTAGAATACTGTAACTGGCTATGAAGTTTCCATACCTAAGAAATTAACAAAGATATTGATGTTTTGACCTATATTTTACAATCTATATTCCCCCTTCCTGGCTGTAATGATGAAAATGGTTTCTTTGAAGTATGTGTCTTTCCTAAGAACTTAAGGGTCAAGAAGAAAAGAACGTATTTAGAAAGTCCTTCTCTACCCATCATTTTCAAATTTTAACAGCAAGCTATCTTGGGGTACCAATTTCTTTCTTTTTTTAATTTAATTTAATTTTATTTTACAATACTATTCAGTTCTACATAACAGCCACAGATTCCCTTGTTCTCCCCCTTCCTGCCCCCTCCCCTTCCCCCCAGCCCACCCCTCATTCCCACCACCTCCAGATCAAGGCCTCCCCCAAGGACTGAGATTGACCTAATAGATTCAGTCCAGGCAGGTCCAGTCCCCTCCTCCCAGATTGAGCCAAGCGTCCCTGTATAAGTCCCAGGTTTCAAACAGCTATCTCATGCAATGAGCCTAGGACCTGGTACCACTGCCTAGATGCCTCCCAAACAGATCAAGCCAATCAACTGTCTCACCTATGTCCACAGTGGTCATTACTAAAATATTACTATGCAGAAAGTCATATATTTCAATCATATTTAATAAGAACTTATAAATGCACTTAAATACATCAGAGGTTACTATTTTCTTCATGTGTTTTGCCATAAGTCAATTCAATGAATTACAGGCCAACCTCTGTCCTTAAAACAGTGCTAGAAAAGCATATTTCTTATATTTTATAAACATAAATCAACTAGACTATCACAGTCACTTAGGCCAAGGAAAACAACCATTCATGTTTATTAAATGCCAGGACTATGATGAAAAATTAATAAAGTATCGGCAGGCTCTATGCAACTGAAATTAATATACAGTGTATTCTTTGAGATTGGTGAGATTACAACTTAGTGGCACCATACAAAATAACTGTAGACAATGGTAGCTCTAAAAGGTGAAGGGGAGTTATTTTTGGCCACTTCACTTGCACTTTCCTTCTACTGTAAAAGGCACTTTCCAACAGTAGATGCAAAGAGTGTGAAATATTCAAACAGAAATTTAGAAGTCTTGTTAATGAAGTTGACACATTTGGTAATTGAAATATAAAGCATGCAGGCCATGCATCACTTCTCACCTGTAAAATGATCTCTGTTGTGTTACTGCCTCTGGGGATGGAGGTAATCAGGAGAAAATGGAAGAAGGAAATCAAGGAACAAACCTCTCATGTCTGGCTGTGTTTTCTGGCCACAGCATAGGACTCACATCTCTGGTTGCTCCCTATACTCTTTGACAGTATCTCATTGTGATAGATTAAGCACGAATTAGAAAGCAGAAATGTTCTGGTGTGACTCCATGCCAATGCTTTGAGATATCAGCATGATCAATGATACAAGCTCTGCTAGGCTGTAGTTTAGGTTGTACTTAAATGAGATATCACCTTCAAAGTTTTAAGGATTGTCCTTACATTCCCCACCATTAAGCAACCTTCTTAAAGGAATAGAGTAATTTTTGTTTTGGCTCTGTTGTGTGGCAATGATAGTACCATGTTCCTCTCAAACCTCAGGCCAGCATAATAATAGAAACAGCTTGTCCTTAAATAGGCCTGAGCATGTAGTATTTTAAAGTATTTCACCCTTTGAATATTTTTTCCTATGGTTTGTGGCTTATCTTTGTTTGATTTTTAAGTAGAAATGTCCAAGGAGAAGATGTACTTGGTGAAGAGTACACAAAAATCTGCATTTTGTCTTGAGCAGAAACAGTTTGTGATTTGTGACCTCTTATTCTATTGATAGATTTTCATTTCCTAGTTCTGAGCTTCTTAACAATATTAAATTATCTGGATCAAAATACATTTTATAGAAAGAGACAAATTTAACTAAAATTAACTCAACTCAAACCAGGAATTTTGTTGGCTAGGGTCATTGGGAAGTCTAGAGGGAACTTTGGTTTCAGACAAGACAGGATCTATATCAGCTTTCTCTCTCTTTTCCTATAATTTCCTCTGAATGTTGGCCTGATTCTTTCTTGCAGAAGATATGCTTAATTTACTGTAGCAAGACAGAAGGGAGAGAGAGCTTCAGGATTGACTTCCTAACCCTGGCACTGTATAAAGCATCCTCATTTCCCCACCTCAACGTCATTCTAACTCCAATTAACCTCCTTAGACCAAGTCCTCAGCCCCAGAGTTCTGTCTGTCCCCAGAGCACAGTTACTGTGAGAGCAACAAAGGCCTGGGACCAGGAACCTCCCTCAGAGCAGAGGGAGCCATGTATTGGACAGTTGTTCTAGAACCTCAGAAGACAGACCGCAAAGTTATTCCAATGGATGGGTTGATTTCATCAGAAAGAAGACACTAGGTGAACCTCAAATGGCATTCACTGTGGTTCTTCAGGCTTCTTTGTGGGGTTTTTCGTGGGGCTCATCTTCAAACCAAACATGCTGCCTCAAAAAGATATGTGATCCCTGCTAATGACACATGATACCACTTCCTTAGTGTGTAAGGAATTTGACAGTTACTGCCCTTACATGAGCAAAGTTTCTCTGGCACAGGGGAGGTTGGGAAGTGCTTTTCTGCCATAGGTCAATAAGCAAGTGCTCATGGAATTTGTGGAAGCTGATTGGAAAATTAGTGGAACAAAGGCCTCCATCTCATAGAACATGTAGAGCAAAATCCTAGCTTGACAAGTCAGTAATTTCAAGACAACTATGTTTTCTGATGCTCAGTTTCTACCTCCTTGTGTTATTATAAGGATTTTTTTTAAAATACCATCTACCTCTCTGAACCTCTATGTAGCTATAAGGCCAGAAGCCTGCCCCAGTGACAAGGAAGTACAAATTAAGCAGTAGTCATTATTATCATCAAGAGTATTGTCATGAGTTCTTGTTATCCACGTGTCAAATTGGTAATGAAGGGTGGCAGACTGGGATAACAGAGACCACCTGCCTTAAGATTCAGATTCTACTGTGATCTGTACAGGTTCCCAGCACTCTGTCCCATGAGTGTTCTTTATCCTCTTATTTAGGCTTCAAAGCTCCCATTGAGTTTGATGCCATTAATGTCCAGTTTTCAGGTAAGGAATAGGCTACATGGTGGAATTGTGATTTTTTTTTTATCAGCTCATATTAGAAGTCACAGAGACAGGATTCAAAACCAGATTTTCTGGTACCAGAAAACATAGTTGTCTTGAAATTACTGACTTGTCAAGCTAGGATTTTGCTCTACATGTTCTGTGAGATGGAGGCCTTTGTTCCACTAATTTTCTGTCTTATACCACACTGCAAAGACCTATTTTCTGAGAACCCAGCATGTGCCTGATCATGGCCTGACTAATCAGATGGCAAATTCGGCAAGAATTGTGGCCTGAGAAGACCCAAAGAATTCTCATTACATCACCAAGGTTTAGAACATTTTGCCGGAGATTGTCTCAGAAGGTGATAGTAACTGGCAAGCTGTGACCTGTTTAAGAGAAAAGAAGAGAGAAAAAGTAAAGAAGAGAAAGAAGTCACATGAAATAAAGAAAGGAAGGAAATATGGATGAGGAAAATTAAAGTCAGCCTGATTAGGACTAGTAAGAAGCCAAAGGATTTGGGGAGGGATAGCTTTTGTTTTGTTTTTTAACTTTACTGTACATTTAGGTAAAAGAAAACTTACTCTTGGTCAAAGACAACAGGTATTACTTGGAGAGTCTGAAAAGGGAAAATTAAATACCCACTACAAGAATAAGTTGACTTAAATTTTCTCTGTGAATCTTTAGATTTTAATCTTTGGAACTAACATCCGTAAATTCTATAATATCAAACCCATTTTGCTTATTTAAATTATTCCTATTGTCACGTGAAATACTCAGATTTTAACTTGTTTATATTATGACTTACAACATCATCCTATAACCTCACTCTATTCCATATGAACAAGGGATTCAATCTTAAATTATTACTCCCAAACTCACTATCAACCTGCAGTTGGCAATCTCTGGAGCTCCCGTTAGGGAGCAGTCATTAAGATCCCTTGAAGGCAAGAGTGCACACAGGTGGATGAGAGACATCAATTGAGAGCTTCGGTAAATGCTAAAACCTGAGTCCAAAGGATCCAAGCCCAAAGTCACTCTTAAGATCTGAAACGGAAATATCCCCCAGGCTTATTTCCAAGAAACACTACTCTTTTGGAAGGTTGCAAAACCTTTCAGATGCAGGGCTCAGATGGCAAAAGCAGATCACTGCAACTTGATATGCCATGGCTGGTTGATATCCAAGGAAGCCTGTCCTTTTCTGAAGAGAAACTGAAGAGAGTAGGTGAGGTATGAGTGGGGAGATTGGGAAGTGAGGAAGGAGGGGAAACTTCAGTTGGGATGTAAAAACAGAAAAGAAAAATAGACAAATAAGTAAATAAATAAATACAAAAATAAATAAGATAAATCAGCTCTACCTTTGCTAGAACTTTTCATCAAGCTTAAGTCATGGAATAGATTTACTTAGTTTACTTTGCTTTAAAAATAAAACCTCTCTCCTGTTTCTAACAAGCACGATGGGGAATGGGGCATTTTAGATGTAGCAGAGTACCCTGTTCTTAACAGGGGAGCTGTCCTGAGAGGGAAATACCCAACTCCAGTCCCTCCAGGCTCCCAGGCTCACAAAAGGACAACAAAAGGCTCCTGGGAACACGTCTGTGGGACTCAGGTTTAATAATATGATATCTGGTCACAGGGCCATGGAAATTGGCCAGTGCTACAAGAAATATGTGACTCAATGTACTTCTTTTCTTTGAGGATCTAAAATTCATTCAAACTCATGATGAGGAAGTCTGTTTTTAAAAGAAACAAAAATTTTTGTTGGTTTCTTTTTTTTTTTTTTAATTTATTTTTTTGGAGACAGGGTTTCTCTGTGTAGCTTCGGTGCCTGTCCTGGATCTTGCTCTGTAGACCAGGCTGGAATCGAACTCACAGAGATTCCCCTGGTTCTGCCTCCCTAGTGCTGAAATTAGGTGTATATCACCATCACTCAGTTTTAAATTTACTTTTTAAAAAATTTTATGTGCCTTGGTGTTTTACCTGCATGTATGTCTGTGTGAGGGTGTTGGGTCCCCCAGATCTGAAGTTACAGACAGTTGTGAACTGACATGTGGGTGTTGGGGATCTGACTAGTGCTCCTAACCACTGAGCCCTCTCTCCAGCCCATTTTTTTTTAATGTGCATTGGTGTTTTGCCTGCATGTCTGTATGTCTGTATGACGGTGCCAGAACCCCTAGAACTAGAGTTTCACAGTCTTGTGCTGTCATGTGGGTGCTGGGAATTGAACGTGGGTCCTCTGAAAAAGAAACCAGTGCTCTTAACCACTGACCCATGTCTCCAGACCAAGGAAACAAAGAATTTTTATATGAACCAAGTGGGGAATAAAACTCCAAAGCCATAGAAAACTCTGCTAGGCACTTTATAGCCTGTCCCTTCTGTCTCTTCTCAGACTCTGTTCCTGTCTCTATATCCTCATTCTCCCATCCCATCCTCACAGGCCTCCTGAGTGTAATGGTAATATGCCAAGATATCCGTGCTTCACTGCACTTGTCAGCCTCCCTCTCACCTGGGATGTTACTCTCCAGCTCTTCTGTCAGCAGGTTCACCACTTCTCTATTCAGACATTTGTTTAAATGTCCTTATCAGAGAGGCCTACTTAGTGACCACATGATAGTCATTTCTATTTCTCTGACCTGGCCTTTTCTGTCTTCAGAGCCTGTACCTCAGCTTGTGTTTGTCATTATGTATTACTAACTCCCAATTCTTCCCAACAAAGGGCGTTGGCAGGAATCCAGTAAGTATATGTGGAAATCTGGGAAAATAAATGAGGAAGTGAAAAATGTCAAAGCCAGAAGATAATGTCCCTAGACTTACCTTTGTGGGTATGGACTGTTTTGAGCTGAAGGCTCCTAGGAATCAAGGAAGGGACAGAAAAAGCTCTGACATCACGTTTTCTTTTTGCAAAAGAACTTATTACAATAAAGAAAATTTCCATTTATGGACCTATTCCTCTGTGGACCACAAAAAGCAGGACTCTAATAACTCTCATTAAGATAGATTCAGACTTTAATCTGTATAATAAATTTCATGAAGAGCCTATGTGTAGTATGCTGGTTACTCTTTGTCAACCTGACACACATTCAAGTCACCTGGGAAGAAAAAAACCTCACTTGAGGAATTGCCTCCACAGGATTGGCCTGTGGGCAAGTCTGTAGGTGCATTTCTTTATTGTTAGTTGATATAGGAGATCTCATTCCACAAAAGGCGATACCATCCTTAAGCAGGTGGGTCTGGACTGTATATAAAAGGTTGCTAAGCATGATCAGGAAAGCAAACTAGTAAGCAGTGTTCCTCTCTGATCTCTGATTCAGTTCCTGTCTCCAAATTCCTGCCTTGAGTTCCTGTCCTAATTTCCCTTAGGTGTGTCCTTAGAGTTGTAAGGTAAAATAAATCTTTTCTTTTCCATGTTAGTTTTGGTCAGTGCTTTATCACAGTAACAGAAATTCAAACTATATGTACAATATTTTTCCTGGTCAACTTTTCATATGTTACCTCTATGCCATCTAAAGCCCTCAAATCCTCCTTTATCATACACTGAGACAGAATTTAAGCCTAAATTATAAATATCTCTTTTAACATACCCATAGTTACTTATGTCTGACAATTGTCCTATTTTACCTGTAAAATGCACAGGTTAACAAACTTGTTTGTTCTTCTCTTGCTAGCTACCTAATCTTTGTCTAGTATGACTTATATGATCCCAACTAAAGAACCTAAGGTGGATAGAGGAAGAGATTCTTACCACCCTATCATATCAGCTACAGAGACTATTTCTATAATATCTATAACAGCCTTGCCTCTTACCTTTTCTGCCTCTCTCTGTTTCATTCTTCTGGCTCTTCCTAATCGCTTCCTGACACTGTGCTCATTATGACCTTAGGGACACAGAACTGGGGAACACAGAATATAGTCAAAGGTGCTCACCCTAACTTCCTTGAGAGATACATTTCAGCTTCTATCTTCAACTTGTACTTCCTCCATCTATCTATTTACCAATAAGAGTCTTCACTCTGTGTGTATGTGTGTGTGTGTGTGTGAGAGAGAGAGAGAGAGAGAGAGAGACAGAGAGAGAGAGACAGAGACAGAGAGAGACAGAGACAGAGAGAGACAGAGAGAGAGGTGGAATTTGGTATCAGAGATCAACTGGTGATTAGAAATTCTCAAGAAAAAGAAGACACTAAAATTTTACAGTACACATCTTAGGTAGTGAGTGCTTTCATCTTTTTTTTTTTTTTTTTTTTTTTTTTTTTTTT